ACATATTTGACCCCTGTGACCTTGAATATGGGTGAAGGTCATTCATTTGAACAAACTTTGTAGCACTTCATCTCAGCATGCTACTGGCCAAATATCATCACCCTGAGCATTTTGGTTATTCAGAAGAAGTTGTTTAAAGTTTTTAACATATTTGACCCTGTGACCCTGAAAATAGGTGAAGGTCATTCATTTGAACAAACTTGGTAGCCCTTCACCCAAGCATGCTTCTGGCCAAATATCAACTCCCTGGGCATTTTGGTTATTGAGAAGAAGATGTTTAAAGTTTTTGACATATTTGACTCCTGTGACCTTGAAAATAGGTGAAGGTCATTAATTTTAACAAACTTTGTAGCCCTTCATCCAAGTTTGCTTCTGGCCAAATATCGACACCCTAGGCCTTTCGGTTATTTTTAAGAAGTCGTTTAAAGTAAAATATTGACGCCGGACGACGGACGACGGACGGACGGACGACGGACGCCGCGCCACGGCATAAGCTCACTTGGCACTTCGTGCCAGGTGAGCTAAAAATAGCGAAATAGAGGGTGCATTATTATACAAACGTATAATAATGCCTGTGGCTTAATACTTGAACTAGTATTCCAAGTACCAACCGTGCCAGAATGAATTCCGGTTACAAGGTTACTGCCTCGGGGACTGGTAGTCCACAAGGGTCAACAACCTTGTGACATAATTACTAAATCTAAGTAAGGAAGCACCAATATACAAGATTAATAACACACAGCAAAGGATATAGATATACTGGTACAGATGAACAATTGTAGCGAATGATAGAAATATTTTTTACGGTATTTGTCACAGCCTGATACAGTATCAGTGATAAGAACAAGAGGCCCAAGGGCCTTAGCGGTCACCTGAGTTATATCATAGGTACTGGTAGCTTTATTTTATTATTTAGATGTGATGTGGAAATCAGCATGTAAACTAAGTGAAATACAATACTTGTCATGTCATCAATGGATAAGAATTTGAAAATATTTGTAAATGTTCCCTTTGGGGCCCAGCTCTAACCCCTGGGGATGGGGCAGGAATTCCAAGTTTACAATGTGATACCGTCATCCACCAAAGATGATTCTGACCAAGTAAAAATAACTTCCAACAGGAAATTGTCAAAATATACCCAAAAGTGTTGTTTCCCTATATAAACTATAGTAAACTTTACCCCCTCCCCAAGGGAGAACAGATAGCTCGGGGGTCCTGAAATTTACAATTTAAATAAAGCCCCTGATGATCTTTCCATCCATGCAGAGAAAATGACTGTAATACCTCTGAGTCTGGAGAAGAAGATTTTTGAAATATTGGCTAATTTTCCCTTTTGGGCCCCGCCCTGGCCCCTAGGGTTGGGGTAGGAATCCCAATTTTACAATTTGGTAGCCTCATCTACCAAGGATGATTCTGACCAAGTTTGAAAAAATTCCATCCACTGGTTCTTGAGAAGAAGTTGATAATGTAAAAAGTTTACGCACGACGCACGACGGACGACGGACAACGACGGACGGAAAGTGATTGGAATAGGTCACTTGAGCAAAGCTCAGGTGACCTAAAAATGGTGGTACTTTCAAGAACTTGGCACACACACCAAATTTAATATTGATGGGGGAAAAAATCGTTCAGAAAAGAAAAGTTTTCGTTTTTCCGTTACATAATAAAACGAAGTATTTTGTACTGACCGTAGATAGTTGTTTGGAATGGTGGGGGAGGTATACTAATCAGATGTTAATATGGAATAATGTCACTTACCTCTCCTTTACTTTGATGACGTCACTAATCACCGATTCTGTGACGTTGGTTTGTGTAACATTCCAGCACTGGTCGGTAGGGGCGGGTTGGAGGGCAGCGGGTTGAAGTTTTTTGTTAAAGGCGCTGCCGATGTTAATCCAAAATACTAAACACGTCCCTACCACTCCCCCGAGTATCGCACCCTGGAACAACAAGCATGGAGTCCTAGGACTATCACCAACCCCTAGGGGCTGCACAGCTACCCCATTGATTTTACTGCATTAAACTTCTTAGAAATCATTATTTCAATTATACAAATCCTTACGTCATCAACAGTAATAATCCAACTCTTTTATCAACTGTATTATCCCTATACCAATTATTAGGGGATTGTACGGGCTATTGAGCTCTTACAAAAAAGTTGACTTGCAAATTGATTTCCTTTTATTTGTTTTTCTTTCTTACGTTTCTTTATTTTATAAATTCATTTTTATTTCATTTTATTTATTTTATTTTAGATTTAATTGCGATTTCTTAAATTTTACATATTTAGTTTGACAGGAACATATGGATTCCTTCAAAACTTACACGGGTTTACATATGTAACACCCATGGACTACGAATATGTGACGTCACCAACCTTTACTAACAATGCATCACTTACGATTTGTGTCGCCGATGGAAAAAATATGGAGTACAGATATACACCAACAACTGGAACACCAAAAACAGACAGCATACTGGAGGCTACCTAAAGTAAAAATATAACATGTAATGGGGCTACCTAAAGTAAAAATATAACATGTAATGGGGCTACCTAAAGTGAAACAATATTGTACTGGTGAACATACTAGTGGCTACCTAAGTGAAAGTGGAAAGCACTATACTGATGCTTATCTAAAGTAAAAGTAGACTACATTATACTATAGTTTACAAATATGTAGGACGACTAGTGTTTTCTCGCTGTAGTTTTCAGCTAGGTAGTGATTTGTGACCGTTGTAAGTGACCTGAGGGCACTGTAGTACACACGGCGTTGAGACAATAAACGTTATTTATGGAAATAACTTCTCTGCTTATGTTTACAGTCTGTATCGTATAGAATGTTATGGAGGTCAAACGCCACCGAGTTAAAAACAAAAAGAATAGTTTATGTCAACCTGACAATTTTAAACATGAGCGCTAAACAGAAAACAAAGTAGAAGAAAAAAAGTGTAAGTTAATATTAAATAGAATTTGCAACTGTTCCTTTTAAAACAGAGAATTTAGTCCATAAGTAAAACAATAATTACTGAGAGAGAGAGCTTGCGCTTTACTGCATATGTTACAACTGACACCGATCACAAATAAATATGCCACCGAACAGTCTTGACACAGTTTAACATGTAATACAGTTAGCATGTACAAAGGCGCGTATTTTACATGGAGGCAGATCACACACTTCTTAGGTTTCAACAGGTTCACATGAATCAGTGGCGGATCCAGAGGGGTTTTTTTGGCTTCAGGAAATTTATGTGGATTGGTGTACTTTGAAACAAAATTCGCAGACTTAATATTCAAGATATCAGTGTTGTTATGACAGACGATTAAACAAGTTGTTTAGCAAATTGTTATATTATTCATCAAATAACAAGCTAAGTATACGGGACACGTTTCCTGTTTCAGGATACCTGACTGACCTTATGTAAATGGGACATGTATATATAGCTGACCTTGAACACTGATCCTGGAAATTCTGCCACCATGAATGAAATGCCTAGTCCTACAATGCCGTACACCACCACTGAAATGGTAAGTAAGTACGCACGCTATACCAATGATATTTATATTCATACAATGAAAGTACATGTAATATAACATTTACTAAAGGTACATCATAATAAAGTTTGTTACTACAGGTAACATAACGTTAGTTACAGGTACCAACCATAAAGTACCTTACAGGTAACATTACGTTTACTATAGGTAACATAGAGTAACTTACAGGTAACATAGCGTAGCTTACAGGTAACAATTTACTACAGGCAACATAACGTTTACTATAGGCAACATAACGTTTACTACATGTAACATAACGTTGACTGCAGGTAACATAACGTCTACTACAGGTCATAACGTTTACTACAGGTAACATAACTTTTACGTACAGGTAACATAACGTAAGGCACAGGTTACATAACGTCAGGTTCAGGTAACATAACGTTAACTACAGGTAACATAACGTAAACTACAGGTAACATAACGTAAAGACAGGTAACATAACGTTAACTACAGGTAACATAACGTTACTTACAGATAACATAACGTTGACTACAGGTAACATCACGTAAGGGACAGGTAACATAATGTTGACTACAGGTAACATAACGTAAGGTTCAGGTAACATAACGTTAACTAAAGGTAACATAATTTAAGGAACAGGTAACTTAACGTAACTTACAGGTAACATAACGTTACCTGCAGGTTACATAACGTTACGTACAGGTTACATAATGTTACGCACAGCAAAATAACGTAAGGTACAGATAACATAACGTAAGGTACAGGTAACATAACGTAAGGTACATGTAACATAACGTAACGTTACTTACAGGAAACATAACGTTAACAACAGGTAACATAACATTGACTACAGGTAACATAACATTACGATCAGGTACCATAACGTTGACTACAGGTAACAAAACGTTTACTTCAGGTAACATATCGTTGACTACAGGTTACATAACGTTGACTACTTGTTACATAACGTTGACTACAGGTAACATAACGTTGACTACTTGTAGCATAACGTTGACTACAGGTAACATATCGTTGACTACAGATTATATAACGTTGACTACAGGTAACATAACGTTGACTATAGGCAACATAACGTTTACTACAGATTATATAACGTTGACTACAGGTGACATAACGTTGACTACAGGTAACATAACGTTGACTACAGGTAACATATCGTTGGCTACATGTAACAATACGTTACGTACAGGTACCATAACGTTGACTACAGGTAACATAACGTCGACTACAGGTAACATAACGTTGACTACTTGTAACATAACGTTGACTACAGGTAACATAACGTTGACTACTTGTAACATAACGTTGACTACAGGTAACATAACGTTGACTACAGGTAACATAACGTTGACTACAGGTAACATAACGTTGACTACAGGTAACATAACGTTGACTACAGGTAACATAACGTTGACTACAGGTAACATAACGTTGACTACAGGTAACATAACGTTGACTACAGGTAACATAACGTTGACTACAGGTAACATAACGTTGACTACAGGTAACATAACGTTGACTACAGGTAACATAACGTTGACTACAGGTAACATAACGTTGACTACAGGTAACATAACGTTGACTACAGGTAACATAACGTTGACTACAGGTAACATAACGTTGACTACAGGTAACATAACGTTGACTACAGGTAACATAACGTTGACTACAGGTAACATAACGTTGACTACAGGTAACATAACGTTGACTACAGGTAACATAACGTTGACTACAGGTAACATAACGTTGACTACAGGTAACATAACGTTGACTACAGGTAACATAACGTTGACTACAGGTAACATAACGTTGACTACAGGTAACATAACGTTGACTACAGGTAACATAACGTTGACTACAGGTAACATAACGTTGACTACAGGTAACATAACGTTGACTACAGGTAACATAACGTTGACTACAGGTAACATAACGTTGACTACAGGTAACATAACGTTGACTACAGGTAACATAACGTTGACTACAGGTAACATAACGTTGACTACATGTAACATAACGTTGACTACAGGTAACATAACGTTGACTACTTGTAACATAACGTTGACTACAGGTAACATAACGTTGACTACATGTAACATAACGTTGACTACAGGTAACATAACGTTGACTACTTGTAACATAACGTTGACTACAGGTAACATAACGTTGACTACAGGTAACATATCGTTGGCTACATGTAACAATACGTTACGTACAGGTACCATAACGTTGACTACAGGTAACATAACGTCGACTACAGGTAACATAACGTTGACTACTTGTAACATAACGTTGACTACAGGTAACATAACGTTGACTACTTGTAACATAACGTTGACTACAGGTAACATAACGTTGACTACATGTAACATAACGTTGACTACAGGTAACATAACGTTGACTACTTGTAACATAACGTTGACTACAGGTAACATAACGTTGACTACAGGTAACATATCGTTGGCTACATGTAACATTACGTTACGTACAGGTACCATAACGTTGACTACTTGTAACATAACGTCGACTACAGGTAACATAACGTTGACTACTTGTAACATAACGTTGACTACAGGTAACATAACGTTGACTACTTGTAACATAACGTTGACTACAGGTAACATAACGTTGACTACAGGTAACATAACGTTGGCTACATGTAACATTACGTTACGTACAGGTACCATAACGTTGACTACAGGTACCATAACGTTGACTACAGGTAACATAACATTGACTACATGTAACATTACGTTACGTACAGGTAACATAACGTTGACTACATGTAACATTACGTTACGTACAGGTACCATAACGTTGACTACAGGTAACATATCGTTGACTTCATGTAACATTACGTTACGTACAGGTACCATAACGTTGACTACAGGTACCATAACGTTGACTACAGGTAACATAACATTGACTACATGTAACATTACGTTACGTACAGGTAACATAACGTTGACTACATGTAACATTACGTTACGTACAGGTACCATAACGTTGACTACAGGTAACATAACGTTGACTACAGGTAACATATCGTTGGCTACATGTAACATTACGTTACGTACAGGTACCATAACGTTGACTACAGGTAACATAACGTTGACTACAGGTAACATAACGTTGACTACAGGTAACATAACGTTTACTACATGTAACATAACGTTACCGACCGGTAACATTACGTTTATTACAGGTAACATAACGTTACCGACAGGTCACATACTGTTTATTTCTGGTAGCGTAACGTTTATTGATAGGTTAAACGCAAACTACAGGTAACCAAACATGTATTTACAGGTAATGTCACCTTTACTCAAACATGATATACTTTTACTTCAAGGAAGATAACGTTTACTACTTTTTTCTACAGGAGCTTGTGTCCCTGTATCAGCCGTCATGATCACTGCGGTCGGAGTCAGAATCTTTGTTGTGTGTCCCAAAATCTCGTTCTGTGACCTACGGAAACAGATGCTTTGGGGGGGTTTCGGCTACGTTGTGGAATAGCTTACCATCTGCTATTAGAAAGTCAAATCCCCTGGCCAAGTTCAAGAGGGACATCAAAACTCACCTCTTCACGTCTGCATTTTAGAATCTTTGCAAAGACGTCATGTAAATACCACCCTTTTATTTGTTCAATTATGTGCACATTGCTTGCTTAAATGTAAAAAAGTGATTGTAAGCCTTTGTTTTTTGTTTTCACAATTATAACCATTACTATTATCCATATGTTGTAAAGCGCTTTAGAGTAATTTTATAAATTATATAGGGCGCTATATAAATGTTGTATATTATTATTATTATTACTTGACAAATTCACTCATCAATCACATGAATGTTTATATTATTACACGTGTAGCTTGTCGGATTCATTACTTATTCATGGCAAGACTGATTAAGCACAAACATACTTAAGGCGAAGTAACCACACCACTGACTGAATATCTTAGTAATACTGTTCAAATACGAGCAATAAACATTCCTAATTTTCATGACAATACATCTTATTGACTTGCTGATTTCCCTGTTCCTTCATTCTGATCAGCTGATACTTGCTGACGTAAATGCATTACATGAATTAGTTTATCTTAATAACGTAGTAGAAGAATCGACCTCGGGGCACCCGGAGGCAAATTTAACAGTATTTTGATATAATACTCATACATGTTTATGACATACATAATTGGAGGCTGACCTATCATTGTATTAGCACGAGGACGTACCAAACAGGGCAAAGATCAAGCTTTGCTTTGTATTTCCCAGGGATTCCATTATTATGAAACCATTTTGTGAGGAGAGTGTTTTCATGTTTTATCGCTTCCAGTAGTTTTTCATTTGACCCATTTGGCCGAGACAGTTTCTTTCGTAAATTAACCTTTTTGTAAAGTGTCCTTTTATAAAACAATACCCTGACTTCTCCACTCGGGGATACCACATTTCATAAACCCTGATTGTATGATGTTAGCATGAGCAATCATACCTGTTTTCATGATAAATTAGTAATTTTAGCACGGTTTTTTTTTTTTTTTTTTTTTACATCTTCACGAATCACCGTCACAATGTAGTGATATCACCAGTTCGTACAGTGTAATAGTGATAATGAATGGGTTATATCACTATAATGAGCCGGTGACGTCGCCAAAGGAACCACATCATGGTAGTGACAAGTAATTCAATGCACCATAATCATTTAGGATAACTAGATTGACAAACAGTCGAAATTACATGACATTCAAACCAAGTTTCTCGACAACCAGCCATTCTCATTGTATGCCCATTGCTCCTATTTACCTGAACACTTGGACAGGCGGGTGACAGTCGCGTCCGACAAACGAGGAAAGTGAGGTTTGATGAAGTCCTCGTGTGTTATCGAGGACATACTGGCCAAGCTGGAGGACACAGAGCTGGAAAGTTGGATGGAAAGACAGACAAATAAACTTATCAGAGCGGAAGCTGATCAGATGAACAGCACTGATAGACTGTTAGAATATACAGACCGTACATGGTTGTTTTCAAAAGAATCTGGATAACAACATTACATCGGATTAGACAGGACATTGTAATAATCAAGGGTTCGATTAGACAGGTTTCACTGTGTCATGTTAGTTTCAAATCTTACCGAAAAATAACCAATATTAACAGATCATATCCAGTTGAGCAGATATCCGAATTATTGCTCATGAGGAAAAAATTATTTTTACACAAAATGTTATTGATGACAAACAACGACTAATTCGACAAGCAAAGACAATGAATAGTCGACGTATATATATACTACCTTAGTGATGCAGACACGACGGCAGCCAGGAACATTCCGGACATACCCGGAAAGTTCCGAAATATGTCGACCACCATGTAAGGCAGGAGCTGTAACGAGTCAAGTTGTGATATGTTTTGTTTTTAATTCTGTAAACGATAAAGAACCACCACACCATACATACCCATCAAGGCAGAAATATTAATTGTCATACAATGATTTTTAATGGTTCCACTAAAGTTATATCCTAAAGTCCCAAAAAAAGGTGAAAGTCAAATTTGAAATATTTCTTTTTTCTTTTGGTTTTACTTCATACATAAGTTTCAACATTTTTGAAGAATGTTTTTTTTATTAAATGTGGAAATTTTGGCAAAACGATCGGAAACAGGTCAAAACTGTCATATTCCCAGCATAATTATGAAGGCATTCATCACTCCAAGAACACCTGTAACCCATACATGTTATCTATGAACACATCAATTTAAGGCGTTTGTGAGGCTTTTACTTCTCTGAACTGTGGCGTAAAGTAAACTTAACTACTGACATACATATCAAGGATTATTGACAAAACGCTATAACTACATGTACGACCATACCTGAACAGATACATGCCAAATCCTTGCTTATTCCGAGTGGGGGATACATTTTACTACCTTCACGAATCAGTGATGTCGCCAAATGGTCGCCGTTTTACTTTTTTTAATCTCAGTTCGTAATATTCTTTATTAGAGTAGATTATGTTACTCGAATCAGTGATGTCACCAAATGGTCGCCGTTTTACTTTTTTTAATATCAGTTCGTAATATTCTTTATTAAAGTAGATTATGTTACTCGAATCAGTGATGTCGCCAAATGGTCGCCGTTTTATTATTATTATTTGACTAAACACCGGTTGTAATAGCGTGCAAATGGACGTCAATTTCGTCGTCATTTTATAGCAAAACAAGTGGTCGTTTGATTCTTACGACAGTGTTTTGTAGATTCGTGGTCGTGTTAAGCAGTTATTCACACTACACCGTGTTTTATTTAAGTAACACGCACGAGAAAGTTTGAAGCAGTTCATTTTCTACAGGTGGTCGCTGAGGCGAGTTTGATTGTTTCTAACAATATTGTGTTGGTATGTGTCTTGTCGGCTAAAGGATTCGAGTTATAATATCTTTTAACATTGAAGACATAAGGAAAGATTTGTCAAATATGTAGAGACTCACAAGACACCTACTTGGTGCGCCAGTTAGCTGATGGTACTTATTAAATTGGAAACACTTAAACTTTAAATGTTTCATCCGCTACAAACAAACTACGTTCGCAAAAATATTTTTGTTGTTATTAGTAAGTTAGCATTAGAAAGAAGACGTTCGATTCTGTCTTGTATGATACAGTACGTCTGGTGGTCTTACTCTTGACGTATTGTCTTCACATTGGCACATTGTTTCATTTGACTTACTTGGTTAGGATTGGGCACCTGTTTGGATTCGAGGGGGTCACATCCTTTTGACGTGAAGTAGGCGTAGGCCACTAATCCCTCCCCACAGGCCAGACTCATCGTCAAGAGAAAGGCGGGGCCAGATAACAGGTATACACTGGAAGCATACAAAAATTGACATAATGAAAACTCATTCATGCATAGGCTTGAAAGACGGTTGAAAAGACATTTGCAGAAGTGGCAAAAAATTCTTACGTCGTCGCCTCTTTTTGTGTTTTGCAAGAACTCATACGCTGGATAGCACTCTGTTTCACAACGGCGAAAAAGAGCTTGCATGTTCCACCAATGACGAGACTCCACAGTGTGTACTGGACTAAAGGGTCAGGGTCAAAGCTGAAACATACATCCAGAGGTCAAGGACGAATTGAAGACAAACAATTCAACATCAATGTCACAACATTGACATGGCGTTGTCATTAATACACAAGAAGACGCTTACCCTTCCGTAACATTTAGGCCAATCTCTGTGCTAACTTGAAGGTGTCCAGTATTTTAAGTGTTGTATATGTTACTGATTATACTTTTATAGTGCAAGATGACATGTTGCGCCTTAAGAAACCTAGTGTCTTGTTAGCCTTGGTGGTGATGGACTGTATATGGTTGTTCCAATTTAGTTCTGAGTTAATGATGACCCCTAGACATTTTCTAGAATCTAAAATTTCTAGATTTTGACCATGTAACGAATATTGATATTTGATAGGGGTTTTCTTCCTAGAGATATTTTTGATGGAACTCATTTTGGCGTTAAAATTCATCTGCCATTCCCCCCCCCNCTCCCCCTTTATCAAAGGCTTTAGAAAAATCTAACAGAGCAATATCCACTTGTTTGTTTTATCAAGGTTCCTGGCAATGTCGTCAATAGTAAGGATCAATTGTGTTTTAATAGAGAATTTAGATCTGAAGCCATGTTGAAGATTGGTGAGTATATTGTGGTGCTCAAGGTGAGACCTTATATTGCTATGGATAATGTGTTCAGGTAGCTTACAGGTGATACTAGTAAGTGAAACAGGTCGGTAATTTTCAGCAGATTGTTTATCACCGTTCTTGAAGACTGGTACTATACGTGCCTCACGCCAGTCAAGTGGTACTGTGCCTGAGTCTATAGAAATTTGAAAAAGACAAGGTAGTACTGGAGTAATTTCTGTTGATAACTCTTTGAGAGCTCTAGTTGGAATATTTTCTGGGCCAGTAGCTTTATGTACCGGTATATTCTGTAGTAGCTTGTGTACACCTGACTCACTTATGATTATGATAATGGGAGACATTGTGTGAAATGGCGATGGGCCTAAATCTGGTAATTCTGAAAGATTTTCCCTGGTGAAGACGGACCGGACGGAAATTGTTTATTTAAAATGTGTGCCTTGCTTTTAGAATCGGGGTAGGTTAGACCATCTATTGGATTTCGTATTGGTGGGATGTTGTTTGTGTCCATCTTTTTACTCTTAATAAAACTCCATTTTGTTTCATTTTTTCTGCGAGCTATGGGCTAATAATAGCATACATGTACTTACTGTAAGCTCTACGTGTCTGTTTTGCATTTTAGATTTAAGTTTTGTATATCTGTCCTAGTCCTGTGGCTTACGAGTTTTCCTAGCCTTGTTATAGGATCTTCTTTTTTGTCTAGACAGTCTTTGTGACGGACGTTGTACTTACTTGAAGATGTCCAGTCTGTCTGAAGCTGTGTTGACCTCCCATACATAGGCTGCCCCTCCAGCGTCTATAGTACCCTGTACGAAATGAGATATGAGGGTGATAGAGTAACGTTATGACGTTATGGAAAGTAAGAAGGATATCTGTACAAGGGGATGGCTGATTAGAGGAATATCTGTCTGACGGATGGATGATCAGAGGAATTTCTGTATGACAGGATTGATGATAAGATGGATATCTGTATGAAGGAATAGATCATTAAAGGGATATCTGTATGACGGGATTGATGATTAAAGGGATAGCTGTATGATGGGATGGATGATTAAATGGATATCTGTATGACGGAATTGAGGATAAGTTGGATATATGTATGACGTAATAGATGATTAGAGGGATAATTGACCGGATACATAACAAAGGGATATCTGTATGACGGGAAAGAGGATTAGATGGATATCTGTATGACGGGATGGATGGTAAGAGGGATAACTGACCGGATACATTATAAAAGGATATTCGATGAGGGAAAATATGTTCAGAGGGATAACTGACAGGATACATGACAAAAGGATATATGTATGACGGGAAGGATGTTCAGAGGGATAACTGACCGGATACATGACGAAAGGATATATGTATGACGGGAAGGATGTTCAGAGGGATAACTGTATGAAGGTATGAATGATAAGAGGGTTAACCGTGACCGGATACATGACAAAGTGATATATGTATGAAGGGAAGGATTATCAAATTGATATATGGATGAGGTGAGGGATGATTGGATGGATGTCTGTATGACGGAATGGATTATCAGAGGGATATCTGTATTACGGGATGGATGGATGGAGGGATGTCTGTATGACGTTAAGGATATGAAGATATCTTCATAACGGGATATTTCACGGAGCGGGAGTGAGAGATGATGACTGGGCGAGGGAACTAGTATGGGCAGAAGGGGTATGAAAGGGCTCTTAAGGGTCTTAATTAAAAACAGACTTGGCGTTGGTTGACCTGTTCATTTCAATGTTACAAAGCATGGACTGTTTTTATTATCATCCGGCGTATTAAAAAAACAAATGTCAATTTCTTAGAGTTACTTCTAAATTTCTTAAACTTCTGTTACTATGTACTTGATGGTTTGCACTTTTTTTTTTTTTTTTTTTTTTTTTTTTTTTTATCTTACCAGGCCTTTCCAGTGTCCTTGACATCTAGATAAACATCTGAAGTAAATGTAGGGCATTGCATGCATTATGTAATATGAGAGGTAAGAAAACCTTGTTATCAAGCATGCCCATTAACGCCCAGACATACAAGGTTAACTGAAACCCGAAAAAAGACCAGCACAAAAATCAAATTACAGTCTATTTTCACGTGTATTTTAGAGCACAAATACAGCATCCGTCTGCTTGGGTTAATGCTCAGTCTAAAACTTTTAACACTTAGTGTTATCTGGTGGTATTTTTTTTTTATATATATTTGTACGGAAGTTTCGACCTTAAAGTTCTATCCTTATTGTAAAATATCTTACGATATATTCTCTCCTAAAGTTCTATCCTTAGATAATCTCTTACTGTACTAGTGTAGTTTCTATCCTAATGTTCTATGCTAGGGTTGAACTTTTTTAGTATATCTTCTATCCTAAGATAATCACTTACTGTAGTTTCTATCCTTATGTTCTATGCTAGGGTTGAACTATTTTAGTATATCTTCTATACTAAGATAATATCTTACTGTAATTTCTATACTAATGTTCTATGCTAGAATTGAATTATTTAAGTATATCTTCTATCCTAAAGTTATATCCTAAGATAATATCTTACTGTAGTTTCTATCCTAATGTTCTATGCTAGAATTGAATTATTTAAGTATATCTTCTATCCTAAAGTTATATCCTAAGATAATCTCTTACTGTATTTTCTATCCTAATGTTCTATGCTAGGGTTGAACTATTTTAGTGTATCTTCTATCTTAAGATAATCTCTTACTGTAGTTTCTATCATTATGTTAAATGTTAGGGTTGGACTATATAAGTATTTCTTCTATCCTAAGATAATATCTTACTGTAGTTTCTATCCTAATGTTCTATGCTAGGGTTGAACTATTTTAGTGTATCTTCTATCCTAAGATAATCTCTTACTGTAGTTTCTATCATTATGTTAAATGTTAGGGTTGGACTATTTTAGTATATCTTCTATCCTAAGATTATATCTTACTGTAGTTTCTATCCTAATGTTCTATCCTAAGATAATATCTTACTGTAGCTTCTATTCTAAAATCTTAGCGTTCTCTCCCCGTGTTCTATCCTAGCTTTATATATCCTAGCGTTCTATCTCTTTTAGGAACCAAATATATACATAACTAACGCATGAATTATAAATTTCGAACATAATATAACTGCATCAAGGATAACATAATGAAAACTTTCCGCCAATTTTTTTCTAACATTTTCCATCGTCCTATCTTACTTAACAGATAAACTGTAAAACGAATCACCATAACTCATTAATGGGCGGGTCCGCGAATTAGAGCAGAGGGCAGAGTGGGGACATGTTGCTGATGGCCAACCCTCTATCTCAAGGGGAACACAAAACAACACGGATATTCTACAACGTACACGAGAAATAGCTAGTAAGTAGAGGGTTGCGGTTGGGGTTAGAGGATGGATTGTGACTCCCGTAAGGGTAGGGGCGGGGTTGGGGTTAGAGGATGGATTGTGACTCCCGTAAGGGTGGGGGCGGGGTTAGGGTTAGATGATGGATTGTGACTCCCGTAAGGGTGGGGGCGGGGTGTTGGTTAGAGAATGGATTGTGACTCCCGTAAGGGTGGGGGCGGGG